CACTAGTAAATACACTAGTAAATACACTAGTAAATACACTAGTAAATACACTAGTAAATACACTAGTAAATACACTAGTAAATACACTAATAAACTACACCTATATTTACCTTTTAATTTAAGGTCACTAAATGTTTGATATATCACTAAATGTTTGATAAATCATTAAATGTTTGATAAATCATTAAATGTTTGATATATCACTAAATGTTTGATATATTACGAATGTTTGATATATTACGAATGTTTGATATATTACTTGTTACGATGTTGAATGTTTGATACGTACGTATAATGTTAAAGAACAAAATTTTATTGCAGAAAATGTATGAAAGTTTTTACACGAATTAAATAGTAAAAGAAATGTTCGAATCTATACAAATATTAAATTTTATTTACAGAAAATGTTGACATGAGAACAATAAGTTATACTAAATACGTTGTGTTATTTAGAAAAGACTGTATAAACCGAAATAAATCAATATACCATATATATATAAATAAATAAATAAACATATAGATAAATATATATATAATATATATGTAATTTTTTTTTTTTTTTTTATATATCAGTTATCATTTGCAATAAATCTATTTAGATCCATTGAACTTGATGAAAAAATTCCCATAATTTACTAGCTTTATTGACATCAATTCGAAGTAGCTTTTGTGCATCACTTTTCTTGAATGGGAGTGCTTTTTGAGCATATCGGTGAGCTGCTGAAATAAGAGTATGTTTTCCAGTTAGATATTGTATTGGTGTAAGACGAAGAATAGACACTACATGTGCCTCTGTAGGATGTAGAGCGTTATAATGAGGTAGATGTGTGATAGATAATGGCTGTCCTTTCCAAGAAATTTCAGGTATTATCTTTTCTAATACATCATTATCAAGATTAAGCGCGTTGATATTAGACATTAATTCATCAATTTGCATTGGAAGCGGTGGTGGTATTCGAACAGATTTTGTATCATTTGAAGTAATATTGGTATTAAAAACTGACTCTAAAAGTCCTTGATCGGCCATTACTCTGACTAGACTATTTCCCTTTCGTTTGCGTTGAGGAACTGAAGTGTCTAAGCGTTTTGTTTGGTTACTTCTCGAATGACGTTGTCTCTTTATTGACAATTGTACCGCATTTAACCTTTGAATTTTAAATTTTGTATCTTTTTTTGGAAGAAACTCGTATGATTCAGGTTCAAGTGCAGTCTGAGATTGCATGAATGAAATTTTGGTGAATTAATACCTGTAATAAGATCGTCAATTTTTTTTAAAGGTTATTATAAACGAACTTACAGTGGAAGCTTGAGTATAAGGATTCTTGAAGGCATTTTGCTGTTGATTAACAGAGATTTTATAAATGTTTACGTTATTTTTATCATGATTAGTGTAATAAGACGAAATATTATTATCAACAATTAATTCAGGTATCGTGTGACTTGTCTTAAGTGGGGATGACTTAATATTAGATAGTGAAAATCTAGAAAGACAGTGTGATGGCGTTTTTTTATATGACAATTCCGTTTTTTTAATGTTGCCTGAATGATCGGTTGGTATATCTAATAAATGTTTTATAGGAGGAAAAAGAGTATTTGCCATTTCATTTTGTTTTGATCCTCTCAATGCTGATCCGTGTGGCGAAGGTGGGGGAGAAGGTAGAGAAAGAGGATTATGTTTCTCTCTATAATAAACAAAACTTTGTTTATTGAAAAGTGACGTGTTTGAAGAAATCATTTTGGATAGTCAAAATCTATATTTTAACGGAAGAAAATTTTTTTTGAACGTAAAAGATTTAGTTTGGAAAGTTTGGAACACATTTATTAAAAGATGTTACTTTGCATACAGTTATCGCTATTGATATTTTGATATATACCTAAAATTTAAAGTTTGTGATGCCTTTTTACTGTATATTCGTACAATTTATTGTTATTTTTATAATTTTTTTAATCTATTTATAAATATATTAAATCTGTGCATATGTAATAAAACTATATATAGGTTTCTGGGATGATCAATGATTTCACGATATCAATTTTTAAAGGTGTGTTTGCATGTATATGTGTCATTGTGAATATCGCATTCATAAAAAAATATATGCCAATATATCATAAATTTTCTGGTTGGTGCGATGAATTCACAATCAATCTGTTATGGCATCTGTTATGGCCTTTTTTGTTTTTGTTTAAAGAATTTTGATTCTAGAAATCCTCACTAGGCGTTAACCAAAAAAAAACAAAAAAAAAAAACCATGACCAACAATTATTAATAACTATTGATATTAGTATAGAACATCACCCCGCAAGGACCATCGCTCAAACGAACTATCAACAAGATTTTGCGATAAAAAGTTTGATCAAGCCTCTTTAACCATTATTAGCATTGATTCCCAAATTATCCGAGTATTACGTAACTCAAACTTTCAATTTTAAATAGGTTAGATAACGATGATGTATGCTTAAAGATGCCATTAGTCAACGAACTTTACTATTATAAAAAAAAATCTTCAATGATTGATTGAATGATTTTAATTGCATGATCATTTATATATGGGAATGTGGCCCTGGACGTAGTGCAATTATTAAAAAAAAGAAAAAAAAAACTTTTTATATTATAGAAAACCTTGTGATAAAATTCAATTGAAGTTGTATTCTAAACATCCCGGAGGATAGCGATAGTAGTAATAACTGCAAATCGTCGATCCATTGTACTAACGATGGAGTCGAAGTTATTTCTGTTTTAATGTTTTTTTTTGTCTCATGTCCCTTAATTAAGGTTATGATGATATGTTGTAAGTTTCAATGAAAAAGTTAATTACATTCAAAAGTTCTTATCAGTACGTGAATTATTAAACAATATCAATTCGGAATAGTTCATTGGTACTTTTTCGTATCTATATTTGATTTTGTGGCAATATTATATTTGATTTTGTGTCAATATTCTTGATCATTCACAGAAATTAAAGATTTAGTATTACCTCAGTTAGCGTAAAAAAATAAAATAGACAATATTAAATCAGCCCTTTTTCTTTAAATTTCAATAATTTTTAAAGTAACTATAGTAAATATGTTATTAATCTAATCTTGATTAACACGTCTTAATTAAATTTTAAATTTATGTCACAAATTAAAAACATACAGATATTTAATTAATATCAGTCATGAGACATGTCACTTTGATCGTAACTTATATACTTACTAATTATTTGATGCAAAGTTATTTGATTTAATATTAAGATGAAAAGACAAACATAAAAATTCGCAAATTTACTATTATTATATTTATAAATTAATTTGTGTAATAGGTAGTCAACCAAGTATTGTATCTTAAAAATTACTGCCGTATTTTCGAGAAATATCGCCCTTGGGACGTTATTTTGAATAATAGCCCAAATCAATTTTAATTTAGACCAAAATTCGAAATTACACCCCTGGACCCCCTGGGCGTTATTACAGTAAATTAATTTTTCCAATTTTATTTTGATTTTGATTTAGTAAATTTTTTTTTATTTTTAATAAAAAATTATTTTAATTTATTATATAGTAAGCTATAAAATAAAGAGTATAGATTTTATAGCTTTGCAATTAAGTTCAAATCTTAAGTCAAGGTTTATAGTCAAATTAAACTAAAAATATAAATTACTTTATAATCAAAATAAAGTTAATACAGTATTTAAATGCAAAATTTGTATTAAAAAGTTTAAATAATAGATAAATCTAAAATAAAAATTTTTAAAAAAAGATTATATAAAAAGAAGTTAATGAAAATAAATCAAATAAAAGTTTTTTAAACTTTAAATTAAATATTCTAATAATTATTAAACCAAATTTTTTTAATTTTAAAATTAAATTAAAAAATTCTATTAAATTTAGTTTAGAATATTTTTAGTTTAAAACTTAAAAAAGTTATTAAAATAAATTATTTTATTTTATTATTTTTTTTTATATTTGCAAAATAAAAATTTTATAAAAAAAAATATTATAAAATTTTTAGATTTTTTAATTTATTGCTATAATAATATATATATAGTATATTACTATTACTATTTTTTAATTAATAAATTGTACTATTAGAAATATACAGTATTTATTAAAGCTTTAAAAAAATTTAATTTTAATTTTTAAAAAATTTGGATCTTCTTTAGTATAATTAGACAATATAGAAATATTATAAGATTATAATATAAAAAAAATTTATCCTAACCTTAATTTAACTCTAGTTTAAACTATAATACTTACTCTAATCCTAACTAATTATAAATTTGCTTAAATTAATTTAAATAATTATTTTTATATATTATAATCTTATAATAATTCTATATTGCTTAGCTATATTAAAGATCAATCTTAATATACTTTGAAAATAATTAACTAATAAAATTTTTATATAAATTTTATAAACTAAAATTTTATTATATAAAAATATTTAAAATTTGTTATTTTAAAATTTTTTTAATTAAATAGTCTTTTTTTTTAGTTTTAAAAAATGAGGCTACACTTATATCTTTATTAAGTAATTTATATAAAAAATTATAAAAAAAAAACAAATAACAACTTAATTCATATATGAATAAATAAATTTAAACTATATAGTATATAAGAATAAAAGTTTAAACTAATTATTTATCTATGATCTAAACTTACTAGAGTAGTTAAAACTTATCTAGATTTAAATAATTAAAATATAATTAGTAAAAATACTGAACTAGATTTACAAGATAAACCAAATATTAAATTTATAATTAGCAAGTCTAGCTAGTAAACAGAAATTAAAATTAGAATATAGTTAATTTAATAAATTATATAGATAGTTATATATAAATATATTACAAGTTCTAATATAAAAATAAATAGAAATTGTTAACCAAATTAAACAAAAAAAAATATTTAAAATATTTAATATATCTTTTTTAAATAAAAAGTTAATACAGTATAATTTTCAAATTTGTTTATAAAGTTTGTTAGAAATTTTGATAAGAATTTAAATAATTAACTAAAAGGTAATTGAGTATAATAAGTACTATATATTAAATAAATAAAGAAAAATAAGGTTTCTAAGAGTAGAGTAAAAGTAAAATATAAATAAATAAAAAAAAAAGATAGATAAAAAAAAATTGTATATATATATTAGATAATTAATTTTATAAAAAAAAAAATTAAAAAAGTTCTAAAAATGCAAAGTAATCTATTATGAAATATACCTAGATATCTTACTACTATAAAAAGAAATATTGCTATTTGTACAATTACTGAATTCAATATATTAAAATCTAGATTTTAAAAGTTATATGAAAGTTGGCAGTTGTAGCAATATATAGGCTTAAAATATTTACTCAATATAATAGAAATAGCTATATATATAGTTTAAAATATGAATTTTTAACAAGTATGCCAAATAGAATACAAACTAAATATATCAAATTAGAAGCAGAAAGTGCCTATTTGAAATATTAATACACTAATTTAAAAGTTAAAATAGTAGATAAAGTAGATAAAATAAAGAATATATAAAAGTTAATTAGAAGTAGATAAAGATACATAAAATCTAGATCAATTGCATATATAAAAATATTGATAATTCTAATAAATATTAGCTATAAAAAATAGTTTATATATTTAAAGTCCTAGTTCTAATACTAATATATAATATTATATATATATATTTATAGTACTACTATTAATAAAAGTTTAAAGTAGATACTATATTCAGAATATTTTTCTAAATATTAAAAAAAAAAAATTAATATTAAAGTTAGAAATTGTCTTAGAAATAAAAAAATAGACAATTTAAAGTAAAGATTATTGTTAAAACAGATATATTAGTAGAAAATAAATTAGAAAAATTATATTAAAAGCAGTAAAAAGATAAAAATAAATTAGATAATATAAAATAAAAGTAGAAATATATAAAAAAGCTATTAAATAAGGCAAAAATAAATTAGCAACCTATCATTATGCGACCATTATATGATTGACCAATCATTTTTTAGATTGGTGATTACATAAATAGATCACGATTATTTTTTGTTTTGCTTTGTGAATTTGATAAGGTATATAATAAAAGTAAGTGTTTTTTTTTTTTTTTTTTTTTTTTTTTTAATATATATTTGTATTTTTTGTTTTCTTTTGAATGGTTCTACTCCAAAATCATGAAAGACAGATTCTCAAAATGGACACAATACTAACAAAGTTAGCCAGCATTAGTTATAATGCTGGCTAATTTAGTCAATATTATGTTCTTTCAGGGAAATGGCCTTCAGGATTTTGGGGTAGAACTCTTTTGGATAGGTTCTTTAAAGCAAAAAACCTGTAAGCATTTAGTTTTTTTTTTTGATATAATTAGAGCTAGTGTTTGTTTTTGTAGGTTGTTAAACTTCCTAAAAGCATGATAACATGTATTTTTTAATTCTTTTTGTTGCTTTATTAAGTATCAGAACTAACATGTTTTCTCTTATGGATTTTTTTTATTAATCTAAGAAATCCTGAAGTTTGTAAAACTCGCAGAGTATCAGATCTTTTAGATTTTTTTATATTTCATTTGTTTGTTAAATATTAGCACTAACACTTTTTTCTTATAGATTGCTTTTTTAATCCAGGAAGTCTTTAAATGTATTCTTTTTTTTTTTTTTGAATTTTGGAGATTATATTAAACAATACAATAATGATAATCACTTTGATTATCATTATACATTTTTTTTCAGCTATAATTTCATTGTTGGAGTCATTGCTAGAGTCATT